GTCGTAGCCAGCCCGTGCCCCTTTAAGGGGTCCGGGGCCGGGAGGGGGGCATAGAGTTTCCCTGGTGTTGGCCAGAGTGGCCACCAGGAAAAGCTGGGGAGGGCTAGCCTCCCACTAGTTCAAATTAAGGGGCTACACACCCCTTAATTCGAACTAGTAAGTTCAAACTAGGCTTAGTCCTCGTAGAATGAGGTTTACCTAGTTCGAACTAAGTGCTCCGCTAGTTCGAATTAAGTTCGAACTAGCGGAGCGCTAGTGTAGCGCCTATCAAAGTTAATTTGAACTAACGTTTGTTAGTTCGAATTTACTTTATAGTGTAGACATACCCTGAGAGACTAGAGAGGTTTAACCTATAGTACGTCACTTTTGATGCTAAGAAAAAAAATCTTTGAAGACAATGTTATGAATAATGTTTATAAATTGAGCCTAAAAAACTCCACTGTCCCTTGCATAGGGAGGGGGGAAAAAACTCTCAAAGCTTTGGAGCCAGATTTTGAGCTGATGTAAATCAGCATTGCTCCACTGTGTATGATTAAGCTGAACTGACTTGCATCCGCTGAAGACACAGCTACAGAATACAGCCATTTCATCTTTTCAGAACTGCATTTTAACTGTAGGAGGATCATATTTTAAACTTATTGAAAAAAGCTTTATCTGAAAGTTTTATAGCTGTAAGCATGCAATTCGGTATTAAATTTTAATTTAAATATGCAAATGAAGAATATATTTCTTTAAAAGTGGCTAGTGTGGAACAGGTGCTGATGAGTAGATTATGGTTTCCAATGAGAAAGCGGCAACTAGAAGTGGGGGATAGAGAATACTTTGATTTTGATTATTCAAATATTACTTACATGGATTTTTCCCAACCATGTGTTTTTAGCTGGAGGATGATTATAAAACTTAAATGGGCTCATCAAATCAGTTGGAGGGTGGTGGTGTGTGGTTTTTTTTTTTTTTTTTTTTCTTCTGGTTTTAGAAAATCAAGAAGAAGAGAAGAGGAAGGGGAATGGCAGATTGTAGATATTTGCAATTTTTGTTTCTCTTCCCCCTTCCCCCCTCCCCGCCATGTTTGGTACAATAAAGAAACCATAGAATGTAAAGTAGAATGAACTAGGACGCCCTAATCAAGAAGAAAATACCACTGGGAGCCTTGTATCCTGAAGAAAGTATAAATATTTTTTAATAACCTGTTAATGCCACATTCCATAAAATAGTTTTGTTTCAAAATTCCTCTTACAGTGATGTGGTTTTGTTTTTGCTAGCATGTTTTCTATGATGATGAAATTAGACTGAAAAATGAGACTCCTCTGGTTATCAATTCTCTGCAAATACCCACATTTCTAGAACAAACATCTGAAATGGACATCACTGCTTCTGCACCTGAAGAGTTTGATAATAAAATCGTAAGTACAAGGTGTATATATTTTTTGAGCATGTATTTTTCTTTTTACATATTTGGCACTAGCAGTGGTGGATATAGTTATGAAAACCCACATGTAAATCTCTAAAGAAGTGGTCCCCAACACAGTGCCCGCAGGCGCCATGGCGCCTGCCGGAGCACTTATGTGCGCCCATGGAGTGCCAGCTCTAGGCACCAGCAAACCAAGCACGTGCTTGAGGCGGCATTTCGGCCGCCCCTGAGAGACACTGGCCAGAGAACTCCTAACCCTTACCGCCCAACATGGGCCTCCCTGTGGCCGCCCAAGGCAATGGGAGGGGCAGCAGAGCATGTGATGGGCCAGCAGCGAGCCACCCTTGGCAGGCGGGGTGTGTGGGGCAAGTCGAACTCGCAGCCCTGCTGTGATTGGCTGAGGCGTCATGACATCATGGTTCCAGGGCTTCCTCGCTGCCTTCCCTCGGCACCAGGGAGAAAAGCGCGCCCTCTAGAGTGCACCAGGGAGAGGGCGTTGCAGCGGGGCAGCCCCAGCAGGAGTGCTGGCCACGCGCCGCTCCAGTCCCCTTCCCAGCACAGCTGCCGCGTCCCAGTGGCCGCGGG